TTTTGTTAGGAGGCATACTTGTACTCTTTCTGGAAATCATGATCGAACAATCTTCTCTGTTCATTGGTCAAGGTAATATTACACTATTTTGTGTAAGGCTTTCATTTAAGGTATATGAAAGATTTTTATTTCTCTTGTGCTACCGTGTCTAAAGACGATTACTCCAGTAGTTAGCAAGAAATTAAGGTGTTCGGGAATTTGGTCATAGTATTATAATAGTAGAGTGCTTAGTTTAATTTATTCTCCATTTTGGAGCCTCTTGACAGCCTGAATAAGACAAACTTTCATTTTTTCAGTGATAATTCAGTTTCTTACAAGAAAAGAAAAGACAAGAAAATCATTTTTCAATGTGTCCGTAACTCAGTTGATGAGTAGCTTTATTTACCTATATAATGCTCTACCTTTCCCCAATTAAAATTATCAAGAGAAGAGAAGGCTCCCTTCCACTAATAAACACTTAATTCATTTCATCAAGAATAGATACATGAGGCATTATAAAAAACCAAAGGGTTACCAAAATCATCGTATATTGGAAGTCTTGATGAAAAGTGTTTTCTCAAAAAAAAAAATAAAAATAAAAAAAAATAAAAAAATAAAAAAGGAAGGAGTGCCCCACATGTACTTCACCTCAAGGAATCGGCTTAGCTGTAAATACAACTGAACTAGACCAAATCCCCATGAGTTCAAAATATCTTACTATGGCCTCCCATTTATGTTATTAATTATCATTAAAGTTTCTTAACTAGTCAAACATGGTAAGAGTTCAGTTGACAACCAAATGTAAAAGTAGGTGGTAGTCTTGTAAGAATAGTTGTAATGTGCGCAAGTTGGCCTTGAAAATCATAGATATCAAAAGAAAGTTTATCGCATGTACTCGCTGCAGGAAATTCACTTAGTAATAATCTGTTTTGTCACCCACAAATTTTAATTGGGTAACGTATTATTGTTTATTCTATGTAACTTTTATATTACCTGTGCTTTGCAGCGTTTCTTTTGCATCTTATATTTGTAATTTCTATTTAACCATACATCTATGTGGCTGATGATTTTTGCACGTGAATGTGACAGAAACGGCATAATTGCTAGTGGAGCAGCTGACGATGCTATTCGTTTGTTTGTGGAGAATCAAGAGAAAATGGTAATGGAGGCTTGCCTTACCTTGTTATTAGCATTTGCTCGCATCTGTACTATAATGTATCTAGACATGTGTATTACGATATCATTATTTCGTATCTTTTGGAAAATTTTTGTCATGGTTCGGTGCAGCTTAGTACGATTGTTGGCCTGTTGTTTGTTCTTTTAAAAAATATTAATGTGGGGCCTACAACCTCTTAAAAGGAAGTAAAGATATGTTAAGCTCATGTTAGCATCATTTAATTATGCTATTAGCTCCAAGATGCAAAATATTGTGGAACTTTCAAGTGAAATGAAACAATATTGACCACTCCCTTTTCATCGCAGGTTGATGGATCTTCATTCCAGTTGCTGTATAAGAAGGAGAAGGCCCACAACATGGATGTAAATTCAGTGCAATGGAGCCCAGGGGTAAGGCTCTTATTTCAACCTGCAAAATGTTTTACACTAACTAGCATTTAAAGTTATTAGTTCATGACTGGAATTTAACTATAGTCATGTATGGACTTCGAGTAATCGCATTTGATTTCGTGGTGCTACTTTTTATTGACTCAAATCCTACAGTAGCCACCATCTTGCAGCACCACCTATTTAAGATATCAAATGTTATAGAGTTAAACAGTTGTTTCGTAGATTAAGTTGAGATACACACGAGCTAGTTTAAACGAGAAAAAACATTGAAAATTTTGTTGACTTAAACGGTTGCCGAATTGCCCTCACCGTCATCGGTTCAAGTGAAAGTTCAAAGACCTCAGGTTTATAGACCCCTTTGCCTTGAGCTGTTAACTTCTGTCTTTTTGCTGGTCTGTGATATTTCAAATGACTTATTGCACCTATTATCTCTACTACATACGAGATGCCACACATTTTTCCCAATCGGTCGTTTCGGTTTAAATACGAAGTTCTATCGTTCTAACCTTTTCAATCCAACTTCTGTCAGGAGAAGAGGCTTCTTGCTTCAGCGAGCGATGACGGTACAATAAAGATATGGGAGCTGGTTTCTGTTAGCTAATCCCTGAATTAACTTTTCAAATCATGTTTGTCACATAGCATTTTTATATGAGTAACCAAAGAGGATCATGAATTATGTGAATTTCCAGCTGGTAGAAAAGTACCCATAATTTTGTGAACTTGTGTTTTGGGCCACTCATCTGCTAATGTCTTCGTTATAAAATTTTTAATGGTATTGTTGAGTCTTGTTTACTATTTATGCTTTTAAAGTTATTGAAAATTCTTCTCATAGAAATGCGCAAGTGTTTGTTTTTGCATTTTGATTGTCCAATCAAGTATTGTGAAATTCTTCAAAAGTACCTTTTTTTATGAGCTAAAGTCGCTTTTTTTTTTCTTCATAAAAGTTATTCCAAGCCCACTTTTTATGCTTGGTTGTGATTTAGCTATCCAAGTTGTTATGGAGAATCTAATATCCAAGAATTTGATATTGGGATATTTGATTATCCAAAGCTTTAGATTACTATTTTCTTTTGAGGGAAAAATTATAAATATATTCTAAATTATGAAGCTAGTTAAATTAGAATTTAGTTCTCGAAATTTTGAATTTGTGTTTATTTGATCTCTAAAAAAAATTATTAAAAGTTCATCGACCTTTAAAAGTGGGTATGTTTATAGATTTTCAATTTTACAGGTTTATCCTAACATAAAAAAGTAGGTATGTTCATAGAATTTCAATTTTATGTTTAAAAAATTAAGAATTTAAATTTTATGTTGAAGTAGGTTAAAAGTTTTAAAACTAAATTTATAATTTTGAAACTTTTGAGTAAATAAATAAACAAATTTAACCATGTTTAATTAAAATTACCATTTTAGGATATTTAAACTCAAAACACAAAATTACACTTGGCCAAGTCTTAGTAAACACTTTTTTTTTTATTTACATAATTTAGTTTTTTTTTCCTTTGAATTTTGCTTATTCTATATTCACGAAAACTGTAAAATCTTGTTTTACCTAAAAAAAAAAAAAAGTAAAATACAGTTTTTTCTTTCAATACAACAAAACTATATTTAAAATGGATTATTTGAAAATATTTTAATGAATTTGTAGAGTATTTCGATTTGCAGAGGACAGAGAGAATGAAAAAAAAAAAAAGTTTCATAGTTCAAAAAATTTCCAGATTTTATTTTAAATTAAAAAAAAATATAGAGAGAGATGAATAGATGCAAATAAATGGAAAGGGAATAAGAATAATTAACAACAATAATAATAAACAATAATATTATTGAAGGAAAGCATGAAGAATTCATAATTGTATTAATTAACAGTAAAATGGAAAATCAAATGGCGAATGAAATAAAAGCAGTTTTGTTTGATTGTGTTTCCGTTCAAATTCCTCTTCCCCAAATGTTGGAAACTAATAATCTTCAGAGCTTGGGAAATGAATTTTCTTTGTTTTTATTTCAATTAATCCTAAAAAAATTTAACGTAAATTCAGCACCTGTTCTCCAGTCTGAATCCGCCATTGTTGGCCCTTCTTCCTTCTTCAACCAGCGCCGCCCTCGCCAACCCGATTCCAGTCGGAAATAAACAAGCATCGAACCCGGAGCAATCAATCCACTCCTTCAGAAGCTCCTCTTGCCCCCATATATCCGGTATCCAGACTCGCCCGGCCATCTCCCGCCGGTGCCTCTTCAGCCTCTCCCGTCCACCTTCCTCCTCCTCTTCCTCCGCCGCCGTCGTTGTCGTCTGTACTTGCATTTCCTTACCCGCGGCGACCTCCTGCACTTCCGATTCCGAGCGTTTTCTCGAAGCCAGAGACTCCAGTTCCTGTTCGATTCCGATTTTCTCCGCCGGTACAGGCGCTTTCTCAGCCGTCAATGGCGGCGGAGGAGGAAGAAAAGAATCAGGACGGTGAGATTCCATCTTTCAGAAACTGGTTGGAATCTCTGTTCTCATGCGGCAAAACCCTAGACGAAAGCTCGGTCCGCCATGGAAGAGGATAGTGGCGATGAATTTAGAGGGATTTGAAGAGTGAAGTCGAAATTAAGGAATGAAGAAAAGACAATCCACATGGAGAAATCGGAGGCGTAGATTTGTAGGAGGAAAGATATGTGGTTTCGGTTTTGATTGCGAATTTGGAGCATTATGAGGCTGATGTTGATTTTGGTGAACCCCATATGTGTCCAAATTCTTCATACACATTCATTCTACAAATTTCTTTGTTACTAGACACACGACCATCTTCCTTCATACTCATATTCTTTTTAATGCTTTTGACGTCCATAAATCTTAGCTCATCGTTTCGTACACGGGTCTAGTAAATCAATGCATATTTTTTACTCCATGTGTCGGAAAGCTATACAAATGGGTAAAAATGATTCAATAAAGTTCAAGTCAAGTTTCGAGTCTAAAGTTTTAAGTTCTGTAACCGTTGTTAGACTCGACCCAACACTCGCTCATGCTTAAATCAGTGATGTTGAGTCGAGGTTATGTTAGGTTGTTTTTGAAACCTCCAAATTGGTCCGGTGCTTAAATTAGTGATGTTGAGTCGAGGTTATGTTAGGTTGTTTTGGGTTTAGAATATTCAAATTAAAGAAGCCCTTAAACTTTTTAATGATGAATATGTTTAAATTCACCGTTACTATCAAGTGGTCCCGTAGCTCAGTTGGTTAGAGCGTTGGTCTTATGAGCCGAAGGTCGCGGGTTCGAGCCCCGCCGGGACCAATACTATATAAGAAATTTTTATTATTTCATTACTGTGGTTGTATGTACTTCATTTTACAACGCCTGGACAAACTGAGAAGAAAAAGGAATGAAATCCTGTAGATGAGGAGGCAGGTTGAAGAAAGGAAGAGGAACAGCACAGCTCAAATTCCTGCAACACAGTTAACATCTGCTGCTGCTGGATGCACCAAGTTTTTAGGCTACGACATTTGAACATTTTGTTTCACAATGGGCAACTCAAGCTTCTCCTCACAACACCAACCTTTTCCTTCGCTCTTTCTGCCTTCGTTTGAACGTTCTTTGTTCCCTCCAGGTGCTGCAAAAATGGAGTTCCATCTCACAAATTACACAACAATTGCTACCTGTATGTAGCTCAAACCTCTATCAATTTAGAAACACATCGAACAAATTAGGATTGGTTCAACCCCGTTGCTAGCCGATATTGTCCACTTTGTACCCTCCCTTCTCGGGAGTCCCCTCGAGCTCTTTGGACATTTCCTTTCAGGGTTTTCTCAAGGTTTTTAAAACGAAGGCTTTCCCCTCTCAGGATTCCGCTCAAGGTTTTTGAAGCGTGGTTTGTTCCTCTCCCAACTAGCGTGAGATCTTACAATTCATCCCTCTTCGAGACCCAATGTCCTTACTGGCACACCACCTAGCCTCCTCACTCACACATCACGTGATGTCTAACTCTGATACTATTTGTAACCGCTCAAGCCCATTACTAGTTTATATTATTACTTTAGACTTACTGTCTTTGCTGGCACACCGCCTGGCCTCCTCACTCACACATCATGTGATGTCTGACTCCGATACCATTTGTAACAACTCAAGCCCACTTCTAGTTTATATTATTACTTTGGACTTACTGTTTTTGCTGGCACACCGCCTGGCCTCCTCACTCACACATCACATGATGTCTGACTATGATATCATTTGTAACAACTCAAACCCACTACTAGTTGATATTATCTACTTTGGACTTAGTGTCCTTGTTGGCACACCGCCTAACCTCCTCACTCACACATCACGTGATGTTTGACTCTGATACCATTTGTAACCGCTCAAGCTCGAGCTTATTCTTGAGGTTTTTAAAACGCTTTTGCTAGAGAGAGGTTTTCACATCTTTATAAAGAATGTTTTGTTCTCCTCTCCAACCGACGTGTAATCCACAATCCATCTCCCTTCAAGACTCAACATCCTCGCTAGTACATCACTTAGTGTCTCGCTCTGATACTATTTGTACCCATCCAAGTCCAAACTCATTGCTAATCGATATTGTCGTTTTTTAACGTTCGTTTTCGAGTTTTCCTCAAAGTTCCTAAATTACATATAGATAGGAAGAGGTTTCCGAGGTTTCCACTCCCCAACTAAGGTGGGATCTCACGATCAAGAAAGAAGGAAGGAAAGGGTACCTGTTGCTTTCCCTTCCTCTCAAGCTCTGCCTGTTCATGTTCCAAACCCAAAAAACAAGAACACAAAATCTGGTTAGAATCACAACAGTGGGCAATTGCTGTCTAAAAACATCAAATGTTTTCACATGATGTTGCTTACCAAGGCCTGCTTAAGCTGTCCATTTTCCTCTCTTAACTGGTTCAGCTCTGCTTCTAACTCCACTGTGTAAGCCTGTTTTCTAGCTCTGGACCTCGCCGCCGACTCCCTGTTCTTTATCATCCTCCTCTGTCTCCTCTCCACAACTTTCTCAACTGCCCCATCAATCACTCTCTTCCTACCTCTCAACCCAAATTGATTCGACTTATCCACCTGATTCCCGCACATTCCATCGGAGGAAACTGGACTCACAGGCGCCGCCATCCCCAACGGCTGAGCAGGCGGATATCCTCCTCCTCCTCCTCCGCCTCCACCATAAGGAGCCTGTGACGAATAAAAACTGTTTCTTTTCCCATTGCTAGTATACCCAGTTGTAATGCTACCACCGCCAGCTGCAGATGTACTGAGTCCAACAGGCCTTGAAACATAACCTCCACCAACGGCGTGGTTGCTATTCTGGTACAAACTATACTGCTGCGGTGGTTGCAATGGCTGCGCCACTCCTGCTCCGCCGCAAGGCTCTCGAACAACCCCTGCTTTGATCAGAAAATCCTCCAATGTCATCTCCCCAAAAGTTGGTTGGCGCGCGGCGGACTCTTGTGAATTGCTGTTTTGACTCTGCCCCTGATGGCTCTTATGAATCTCCGACCAAACCTCTTCCACCGTCTTCCGACACAACGGCGACGGAACTGTTAGCGAACCTTGGCGAGCCAAGCTAGCTTGCTTCTCTATATTGCGTTTCCCCCACGACGCTCCAGTCACCGGCAGGTGAGTCTGGGTATTACTCAATGCCGCCACGGCAGTGGCGGCGGAGTGGCTGCCACTGATTGCTTGGTTTTCCTCCGCCGTCCAAATGCTGGTGAGGAACTCATCCATGTTCATTGACCCAAAATTCCTGCCACTCTCACAGAGTGTGTTCTGAAATTCGTCCAGTGTAAGAGAGTAAATGGAGGATTGTCTTCCAAGGGAAGAGAATCCATTGTTCTTGAGCTGCTGCTCAGACTGCAATGGCGATTCCACTTCATCATGTGACAACATTTCTGATTCTGTTATCACCATCTTCAAGTTCTTCCAATATCTATGAAGATCAGTGAAAAAAAAAAACAAGAATATCAGAGATTTCATTAATGGATGGAGAAGAAAACAAGCAAAATTTCCCTTTTTTGTATTAATTTTCAAATGGGTATGTCAAAAACTCCAAATTTAAAGAAACAGAGCTTTAATGGCGGAAACAGGGCAGCCATTGAAGGTACCAGAAAGAAATGGGAGGAGCTGTAAAGATGAAGAGAAACAGAGACTGCTATTGCTTGTGTAAGCTTGAGAGTTTAAACCATCAAATCCAAAGCTTTCAATCTAACAGAAGCCGCCATTAACGAAGCTTTCTCAAGCTCTGAATCTCTGCAACAAAATACGAAGCTTGAAGACGATAAGGAACAGAGAAGCGTGCTTAAACTACGGCCTTTTCAGTACATATAGATATATATATATATATATATATATAGCTGGGTGTCTTGAATTAGAAGGGTCCTGGTAAATGGTAGCCTTTCGATGACATTGTCTTGGGGAAGAGCCAGAGACAAAATAAGGAGAGGTGGAGCCCACTGCTTAAATTCCTCGAAGTAAGAAATTATATATTTATTTATTTATTTTGTTAAGAGGTTAATTTTATATTTATTTATTAAGGATTTGAAAATTGGAGGGCGTTCTTCTTTTGTTTGAACCTATCTACGAAGTCCATGACACGTGCAAGACACGTGGCTCTGTTTAGCTTTTTTTGACACTGTCTGGACTCTCGTAAACGAACACGTATTTTTTATTTTTGCCTCTAAGCTGGGTGGAGATTCTGTGTAGCTAGCTTACACACCTAAGTAGTGGACGTCCAATGAGCGTCTTCCACGTTAGCTGTTGTTTTGTTTCATTGGTGAATGCTGGGTAATTTTAGCAGCTTTAGGGTACTTTGGATAGCGATATCGTCGCATGCAAGTGGGGATAGCTGAAGCCTAGGCACGTGGTACTTTTTAGTTGGCTATTTAGTTGTTTTTTTTTTAATAAATATTTTAATAATATTATTTTTTTTTTCAACAAATAATATACTGAATATATTTTTAAAATTTGTTGAATGCAGATTAATAAAAAATAATAATTTGAAGGTCTATTCAATTGATGAGAAATCATACACCAAAAATCACTATTTAAAAGTACATAACTAAAATGAAAAATTACTAATTATTAATTTTAATTTTGAACATTTGTATCTAATATATTTCTTTATTTTTAAAACATTAATAAATCTTTAAAAAAATTATTTTATTAAAAAAAGTCTCTACAATTGATTTTTTTTTTATAATAGAATATAAAATTTTTAATTTAATGTCTAATAAATTTATAGAGACGAAGATAGTCATGGTCAAATAAAAATTCTTATATACAAAAAAAAAATCATATTATAGTAGATTCTCTTGGTCCCCACGACCTTCGCTTCTTAGAAAATCCTGCTCCTATATTGTGGAACTTGTAGCTCGACAATAGGAATGATTTATTAACGTTTTTTAGATTTAAGTTCAATGTCATTTCTGGCACAACAATTTTAATGTATAAATTCATCTCGAGTGCACCCTTGAACCTAGACTCTCTCCTTGAAATAATAGTTTGAGAGATTGTTCGACGTGGTTCTAACCTGAAAGAATGTAGTGGCTCTCCTCTGAAGTCCTATCCTATCCCTTAGATGTATGGTCAAACACAATTTTGAAATTTCTATCTCATATATCCGATGTATAAAATTGTAGACAAATCATCTTAGAGTCCACAAATAATCTTTTGTTGACCTAGTGATATTGGGTCAAGTGAAAAAAATATAGAAGATTTTCAAATCCTATCTAATTTCCAACCATCAAGTATCGTCTAGTCTCAAGTGATTATCTCATAAGATTAGTCAAGGAGCACACAAGATAAGGTCGAACACGACATTCATTACACACTTCGACATAATTACACACTTTGAACCCTAAATCTCATAAGATTTGTCATCTCATGCAATGTAGTAGCAAGGATGAGAGACAAAAATGGAGTAATGAAGAATCACCAACCCAGCAGAAGCTGTAATAAAAGCCTATTTATCATTAAGAAGAAGAGCTTTAATGATGGATTCAGACATACCATCAGCTATGGGAAACCAATGACCGGCACCTGCTACCTCGTGATAATGAATCCAAGGAAGCTGTTTAGCAATGTATCGTTGAAGCGTGACAGGCACAATCTTGTCTTCATCTCCATGCCATAAATGCACAGAACCTTCTTTGTCTGGGAATGGGTTCTCCAGATTCAGAGGACTGAATTCCCACCTCCCAAATCCAACAATGGCGTCCCTGTGGATAGATTCCTGTTCTCCTTGTTGGCTAGAAACATGCTGAGAATTTCATGCAAGGATAAAATGTTAGCTAATCACCCTAGTTTAGCTTTAAAGAAGTACAACAAATATGGGGCGGGGTACGGTGATTTGAACCTCCTAGATACCAATTATCATTGAGCTATGATCAAATAATTCAAATAATTGCCTTGCATAATAGATCGATTAGTTTTGAGGGATAATGTTAGACACATTTTTAAGTTTAAAAACTTATTAACCACGAACTTGAAGCTGGAATCCAAATTGATAACTACCTGGTTTTTGAAAATTAAACCTACAAGTATGAGAATTTGAAAGTTTCGTCCTTTCTTACCCGGCTTATCATAATTGACTATTTTGATTCTAGGGTCATATTTGTAAGCTTTGTAACATAGGAAGACAGCCTTTTACCAGGATTCAATCCAGAATTCCTCACATACTTCACTAATGCCTTCCAAACTTGTTCAGATGAATATTTTTCATTCCCTCCGTCTCCCAGTAAAGGCATTGCAAGGGGAAGCAAGACATCTTCATTTGGAACATTTCCAATTTTTCCTCCTCCATCATGACTACTCGCGCAGTCTGGTCAGTGCATCTGTTTTAGGTACAGAGGGTCATAGGTTCGAATCCTGTCACCTTGATGTGGTATTCTCAGGGGCCGACGAGACAAGTACGTATGTAGATAGGCCGCGAGATGAATCACAAGGTCCCCTAAAGGCAGGCTGTTTTCGTTCAGTTACTCCCTCTACTATTTCCTGTTTGACTGTCCAACCTAAGTGTTTCCCACCCAGATTTAAATTTCCAAAAGCCACCAAATGCCGATATCTTGTCTCCTACTACTCTCAAACAGTACTTTTTATCCCCTTCACTCTCTCTTGTTATATTATCCTTATGTACTCTTTCTCTGTCTACTGGACAAATACGTACCCTCGTCGTAGTGCTCACCCGTACCATATATTCCATTGGATTCACCAACCCCTTGACACTAATACAAAAGACAGTTCCTATCCTTATCTACTCTGTGTATTACATCACACTAGTCACTCCATCCTTTTCCCACCAACCCTAACATACATAAAATGAAAGAGCGTTCTAAGGTTCCTATCAATTTGCCTCACTTCTATACGTGCCACCAAACAGTTTGGCAAACCTAATGTTATCCTTGTGTATTTGTAGCCTCTGCATTTCCCCCTCATATGTATAATTTGTCTCCTTTCCTAATTCAACATTGTTTATGGCAGACTTCTGAATGTACCAAACCAACACTTGAGGGGGTAGGACGTTGATTTTTCCACGTTTACTTCCATCCCACCTCTCAGATTTGGCCAAGATTTTTTTTTTTTTTTTTATGTAAGAGCATAGGAATCACCATTTTGCACCATCTTTATCATTTAAACAGTCAGCGTTGAATAAGATAAGATCCAAGAAGTAGAAACCAAAATTTCCAAAAGAAAATTCACATACCGCACATAATTCCCTGTCGATTCGCTTGGATTGGAGTTTTTTGTCTTGACGAGATAGAATGTTGGGATTAGATCCAACAATACTAGAAGAAGGAAACCATTTTTGTGTATACCACCAGTAGGTAAGCCAGGGGGTGTAATGAGCAACACGAACTGCCCACTGATCCCGCTGAAACTGCTGATAGAAAGCTTCCTTTGTTAAGTTTGCAGGGAGCCCAGGCCACCAATAGTTAATAACTGGCGCTAATAGTGCTGCCCCTGCTAGCCTGTTAGGAATATATTTTAGACAGCTCCAAACAGCCTGACTACCCATGGAAAACCCAACAACATAGAATTTGGATCCTAGTCCCAATTCATCAGCTAGCTCCTCTATATCAAAAGCAATGGTTTTCGCAGTTCGTTTCGGATTTGGATCGCTCTCTCCGTAACCAGATCTGTCAAATGATACAATGTAGATTCCTAGGTTTTCAATTATGTCCTGCAAGATGTCAATAGAGATTACAATTGAGTGTTTAGAAGCATTTCCAGAACCATTAGAACATTAAAGGGAGAAACATAGATGATACCGGGGAGATGGTGTTTGCAACAATGGCATCGTGTCTGCAAGAACCAAAGCTATGGACATAGATAATTTTGAATTTAGCTGAAGCTTTTGGAACCCCATGCTCCTTGTATGCCAAATACCTGCCGTCTCTAAGCTTTATTCTTGGTGCTGTGATAAGAGGACCATCAGGGGAACCACATATTTTTGGTGCAGGAGGCTGGATTGCCTGATAACCCCAGGCCAAAAACCCAAAAAAGAGCAGCAGTACTGTACTTTTTAGCAATCCTGTAATTTTAAGTTCTAATCAGAAGAGCAGTAGATACAACGGAACAGGAACAAGAACAAGAACAAAACAAAACCATGTTAAGAGAAAATCAATCATGTTATTTGTTCTATAATAACATGGAGACTATCTATAATATGCAACAAAATGAAGAGCCATTCCTACTCAGATTAGATTACAAGAGCGGCTAAAAGTCTAACGTAACACGGCCGCTAGTTCAATGCTTGATATCCACACATACTACTCCGCTTAGCAGTAATGACAATTGGGGGAAATAAAACTGAAGAAATCCAATAGATTAGTAACAAGGAATAACGAGAATATGTCGCTAGTTTGATGGTGTAGACAAAAATTTCATGCCCGAAAGATCCAAAGCTGAGGTTAGAAATTGAAAACAGCACCATAAACTACAGATTAGGTCGATTTTGGTCATTGCTATAGCTTAGTCAACTTCATTAAAACCAAACGGAGAACTACGATTCCTCGTTACTTCCATCTTCAGATCACCAATTTCTTCAGAAACGAAATAAGCAACAACGCATATCATTGACGTGCGAATTTCAGAATACGAGAAACAAAGAACGCCTAAAAATTCTAACAAACAGTGGAGAAAATGGAGATAGGAAACCTGAAGAAATCGGGGAAGAACTGCTCTGCTTAGCTCTCCTTGTATGAGCTCTGGCCGATGCTGCGGAAATCTTCCTGTTCATACCACCCGCCATTAAAGCCCTCGGCTACTCGAGATCAAGTCAAATGGATAGATCTGAAGTGGGAAAAACAAAGAAATTCAAGCGCGAAGATGGCCTTTATGTTTGTGTTTGTCACAATAATATAATTTTTTATTTTTTTTTTCTTACACGTGTCTTTCTTTTTCTTTTTTTCTTTTTTTCTTTAAATATTCTGTCTTACTACAACAAATTGATCTTGGAATTTTTTTTTGTTTTTTGTATGAACTCGTAGTTGACCGATTAGTTTGACTTTGACTAATATACAGTTTGATATTTGTAATGAACAGAAGTATGACACAAATAAATAATTTATAAATACAATCATTTTTATTTTTATTAATTTCGAGTACAGATATATATTTCAAATGGGTCGTAAGTCATTATGCTATATTTTCAATAATAAATTTGAACAAAAACGTGCCTAGATTGTCTTGGTTTAATAGTAATGACAAAGTTGAGACGACGATAAACTATTATTTAACTTGAGATGGAGATGAACTATTATACATAAATGATATCAAATGAACTATAAAGAGTGCATTTAAATCACTCCCCCTTGAAGTAAGGGTTGCTCAACTTTTACGGATTGGAATTAGTGTATTGAGATACGTAAACTTACTATTAGAATACTTAAGGGTTTAGTAGGATAAATTGTATCTTCTATGGTTATCATGTGATACTATGACGCTTAAACGTGAGCCACTAAGGCATGTGGTATTAGAGCGAACTTCTCTTAGTAAGATGTAGTTTGAAAACGAATCAAGAAAGAAGCTGGTAGACATGACATTCGAGTAAAGGAGGTGGTACATGAATGAATAGGTACGGCGTCTGAATAAGAATGACCATGAAAATAGGAAACCTCATTGATCAAGACATACGGGGTACAAATAGATGGCAACAACATAATCTAACCGAGTTCGTCTCAATGATCGAATACCTATCATCAAAACGAACCAGGAAAGACATAAACATTAGTAAACTACCCAACAGTTACACGTTGCAGCCAGAAACAACCTCAAGAACTTCAGATTCTGGTAACAATCGTGGAGGCCTTAGATAACAAGTTGAGCTGTTCACTAAAACTAAAAGCTGAAATGTTTGTGGAACTTTACTCCATGGGGGGAAAACAAAACAATTATGCATTGTGAAGCAACAATGAAACAATACGACGACTTGACATATCCTCCCACGATCTATCGATCTATCCAGTAGATATCCTTCCATTTCTTTCCAACCAAAGGAAAGGAAAGAAAAGAAAACTCTATCTCTCACATATTTCCTTGGTTCTTATAAAGACAACATCTATGGTTCCTTGGTGGTAAGACCAACAATGCACAGAGAAACGATCTAAATGATTTCGCCATGAACTCGTATCGAGAAATAACTATCTATCATCCAAAACAACCTTCCACCTCTATAACCAAGCGACGTGCTAACCCAATTCTTTCTTCAATATCGTGTCAAAAGAGAACCAGAAACATCAAACCAGATCAGTTAAAAGAGCCTGCCTACTACATTCTTCAAACCTCTGCTGGTTATCATATCAGCAAGGGCACATTACACAACTGTAGGAGGTACATACAGGGACATTGTAGAGTGTATGAAACTACCTTCTCAGAGACCCATTCAGTAGATAAATAAAAAAGGCGAAGGGAATACATTACAACTTAACCACGGGCACATAACTAGGGCATTGAATATGATCCCGCTAATAGATACAAAGTTCAAAAGCTGGTCAAATTGGTTCGACACATGCAGACGATGTTTCGATGGCTTTCGATGCTTATGTCTCGACACTCAATTCTTCCAAAGAAAAAGCCTAAAGACCAGTTTTAAGTCTTTCAAAACATTGCATGAAGACACTGTGATACTAAGACAAAAGAAGAAGCAAACAACAGGTTCAAAATCCAAAAGAAAAGAGTGGAGGCCAATCATCAAGATAAGACGCAACTAAACTAAACTTGGTTTATCTCCAAGATAATTGCTCAAAGGGGCATGGGTAACGCTTGGATATTGAGGTGGAGGCAATCATCAACCAAGCATACCATACAAATAACTTTAAGTATAGATTCAAAACAATCCATTCTGATACCTACAAGTAAGCAGCTAGCTCAACTCCCTTAGAACTCAAGGACACATTTGTAGATCCTGTTTATCTCCTACAAAACTCATGATACAGAAATTAAAAGAACAAAGATATCTCATTTACCACATCAAGTATCCAAACTCTACCCATTTCACGTAATCAATATAGTAACAAAAAAAAAAAAAAAAAAAAACAATCAGGACTTGAGTGTTATCTTTTTTTTCAGGTAAGAAACGAAAGAATGCCAATGCTGATCAGATCAGAGAAGCATTTGCATTAGAACTAAAATATAACTAACAGAGAAAACAGGGTGAAAATCAAAAAACAAGCATACGCTATCAACCCGCGGTGCTCATCTCCACCATCAGCCAGAGAAACCATGAGACTCGTACAGATCCTCGTCGCCCACAACACAAAAACTCCGGCGACAGCGAATCTAATTATACCGGCTTGCGGTAGGAACAAGGACACTGCCGACAAAACCACAACCGGCAACATACAGTACCCAACCACGCTAGTACATGTGTGAAGGTTCAAATTACCATTCCGTCCGGCCAACATATTGAACACAACATATAGAAAGATGGAAGAAACGACAATCCATCCCAGAATCACGCCGAATTGGATCTTACCGGCGAGCAACTGGAAGAGGCCGAAGAACATGTAAAGGAGAATCGGCCCAGACAAGTCCGAGTCCTTGTGCACATCGGGTCTGACACGGAACGGATTCAGAATCGACTTGGTCTTCTTCCAGATTTGATCCGGATGGATCCCGAGTTCGTCGAGCAGGGGTTCTTCGTCTTCGAAATTAGCACCACCAGGGACAGACCCGCCAACAATAGAACCACCATAGATGCTACCGGAGGATGTGGAAGCAGCGGCAGCGGATCCGATGTCAAAGGACATAAACGGAATGCTGGAGCCGGTCGACCGAGGAGGCTGAAATGGCGCGGTCGCCACCCGCCGTTGTTGAAGATTGGGGTTGCCGCCAGAAGGGAAAACCACTGGCGGAACAGCGAATTCCTTCTTCACCGTCCCCATAGATTGCAGAAGAACAAAACTCCGAAATCTGCAACAGATTAAAATTCAAAACAGCTCTGAATCGAAGAATGATTTTGAGGTTTAGGGATTCGTCTCGCGATCGAACGCTCTATACGTAGTGAGAGAAAAATGGTGAAATACTCGCGACAATTCGAAGCTCTAGAAGGTAATAAAGAAAGCGGTTTATATAGTACAGATTCTAAGGGTATATCTGACTTTTCCCATTCCGTTTTTACTGGTTGACGGCACTCGTGGACGGGTTCTAGGCTGAGAATTTTATAAGTGACTTAACGTGAGGTACGAAATTACATATTTACCACCGTTCTTTATGGAAAATTACGAATGGGTATTTCTTTCTTTCGAAGTTTTATTCTTAATAGGAAAGAAATTGATGGAAGTCATTAAAATGATTTAATTTCTAATTATTTATTTAGAAATAATCCTCTTAGAATTTTCAACCTTAATAACCAATTAGTTGCCCATTAAAATTTACTTCAAACTTGAGATATCTATAAATTTTGTCTCGTCTACAAATTTATTTGCGTCATTTTCGCAGACCTAAGAGTTAATTGACACGTCGATGAACTATATACCTATGTTCACTGTCTTTACCTCTTAGTTCGACTCTCTCCATTAATCTCAATTGATTATGAAATTTTGAGCTCCTACTCGAAACACATTACGTAAAAATATTTTTTAGGTTTGGCTATGAGACAACTTTAACCCCATCTATGCCTCTTTCATGTGTTAACTCGTTCAAAAAAAATTAAGTAATTGTTAAAAACAGTATGGTAGCTAATAAAAATTTAAAGGTTTCATTGTTGTTATTAGAGTTTCGTATATAAGTAGAGCACGAGGAATAAAATGTTTTCTTTTTTATGAAATTGAATATTGAGTTATTAAGACGTCAAATTAATTTTATTGTACAATTCTTATGATATTCTCACAATAAAATTATAAAATTTTAATATTCTTTTAATATTTTGTGTGTCAAAATTGCTACTCAATTTGAAATCTGTTAGAGTGTTGAATAAAATTACTAAAAAAACAGATACTTGTCTGAATTAAATAAAAACAACTATATTCACACTAATAATTAAAAAAAAAAATATATATATATATATATAAATAATGGAGCGGATTTATTATTTTGATGTAATTTAATTACTTTTCTAATTTGCTAATTAGAAAAAAAAAAAAAAGAAAAAAAAAGTTGTTTGACTGACATGTCTCTCGCCTTGGGGGTTAGTCGAAGAAATTGCAAAGAACGAGAAGGGAATCCGCCGATTCAACTCGGCGTGCTCGAGATGGCGGGTTGTTGGAAGCGAGGCGATTTCGAACCGTGAAATTGACGGAAAGCGATTCAAATTCCTCTCGGCCTCGATTACTAGGAATATCTGCCTTAGTTCTGCGTTTTAGGTTTGCTTGGATTGGGAAATCTAGCAATGGAGGAGGAAAGTTGTTCGATCTCCAAAGCAGTGGCAGTAACAGCCTGCACGGCCATGGCTTTGTTCTACGTCGCCGTTCTCTATGCTCCTACTTTGATTCTTCGTCTACCGCCTCCTACTTCTCTTCAAGTTTACATGACTCGACGATTTCTGTGCGCCTTCATTTCCACCGCCGTCTCAGTCCTCGTCTGCGTTCTAATCCTTCCTGTAAGCTTCGATTGCTTTTTTCCGGTCATTAGTTTCTGAAAGGATGACTGTATAGTCTGTTTTTGCTATGAGCTGCTCCTAAATCATCGCCGGTTTTCCTTTTTTCGCATTGACACGTTTAATAATCATTTATCTCTCTTTGGAACAATCTTAGGAGAGAGAGAAAAAAGTTCGAGGCTATTCCGTTGTTAGGAAACGTTCTGCCACTTAAGGCAGAATGATCAATCAATATATTGTCAATACACTGTTTTAGTAAGAACTATTTTATCATGTGTACCACTAGTAAACTAACCGGAATTTTTGAAGTTATTTATTTATGGCTTTACTTTGTGGATTTTAGAAAAAATGAAAAGAAAAACGAAGTACATTTTGGTTTAAAGAATGTATTGTTCATCTTGAGCTTGCAGTCAGGGGTTATCAAGCTTAACTGAATAGCGAACTTGGATCCACTGTACCGACTAATAGAACTGGGGACAAGAATTCATGCGTACACAAACTGACTGGTGTAGGATATAAAATGAATGAATCAATCTAGATTTGAGATCATTACTTTTTAATTACCATGGAGAAGAGACAATTTGAGTTTAGCTTAGTTGCTTAAGGCATATACCTTCAACGAAGAGGTAAGTGCTCACCTCCACACGATGAGAGTATTACCATAAAAAAGAAAATATTATGTAGACACGATTTTTTGTTACTCGTTCTATAAGTTACAATAGATCTCTGGAATTTGTAATTTAGTTAATCTTTGTTACTCATTATAAGTGCTTAGTCCATATCTTAAATATTTGTCTGTGCTAGCTTATCAAAATGCTGACTTTCTCCATCTAATGTTGTTTTATGCTAGACAAGAAAAATGGATTTTTCACTTTTATTAGCAGCTTATGGCATCCGAGCAGATCATATTGTAAGTCCAAATATCTTCCCCTCTGTTAGATCATACCCGTATTATCTAAGGTTTTCTTTAACATTTTAGTCAATTTTAGAATCTTTTAGTCCGCAGATTGGAAAGTAAAATGAATCCTAACTTGCATCCTGAATTGCTATTTTATCTGTGAAACAGTGGCAAGCTGTGGTCTTTCCTCTTTCATTGACTTCTTTAATGTACCTTGGATCAATGGCCTTAAAGTCTTTGTTATTGGTGGATTCATGGGGAGAACATATGTATCACGGAGAAGGCTCCCTTTTGGACAGTGCCATATTTTTTTGGACAAGATTTCTTGATTGGGTGCTATTAACGGTCTCAAATGTTTTAGCTTGGAGAAATTATGTTGTGGTGAGTAGTCTTACAACTTTTCCATTCCATTTTTGGGTCCTCACTGTTTCTATCTCTTAAGTAATGGTAGTAAATGGATTGATGGTAGTAATGGTAGTAATGGTAGTAACTTTTCCATTCCATTTCTGGGGTCCTCACTGTTTCCATCTTTGGAGAAATTATGTTGTGGTGAGTACTCCTACAAGTAATGGTAGTAACTGGTTTGATGTGGTTACCTGATCACTATCATCAATCACTGAAGATTCATGATTTGGTTGGGAAAGCTTTGACTGACGTCCATGTTCTGGATGCTACTCGGGGGTAAAATATGCTGTGATTTTGAGTTTGTGAGTTGCCCTTTCTATAAAATTCAAATAGATTTCTTTAGAGCAGGTCATTATATGGTAATAAATTATTCTTTACGCTATGCTGAACCTTTTTTGCTTGGATTTGTTGGTTCATATGAAAGGTTTCATTTTGCATCACACATTGTTTGGACAGGCTCCACTAACTGAGGAGTTGGTGTTTAGAGCATGCATGATACCAGTTCTTCTATCTGGGGGATTTAAACCAACCACTGTGATATTTCTCTGCCCCATTCTTTTCAGTCTGGGTAAGTTAGACACTTCATCGTTTTGGCAGTTGAAACTGCCATACATGAGAGTTTGTGAATGTACTCTCATTTCTTCTTTATGGGGCATGACCTTATTCTTCTCTGTACTATTTGTTCTTTTCAGGATTTGTTCATGTTTTTCCCCCTATTTATATGAATATGGGGCAACATTTCAAGGGTTTCAGATTGAGATTTCTTGTTCTTGTACCATGTTACTTAACCATGTTAAATGACCATGAGACCTATATGTATAAATGAAGAGATCAATTTTCATTGAGAAATATGAACTGTAGACCTAAGTTCGTGCTGATAATTAGGACGAGTTTATGTTTTTCAACATTTATTGCTTACATTTGATTTTAGTTTATTAATTTGAATTGTTATGCGACCACTAGACTTTGAACATTTGATCGTTCTGTGAATTTACTCATACTGGTTAAAAGTTAGTCATATTCTGTTCCATCATCACGTTGCAGCACATTTAAACCACTTTATGGAGTACTATGACAAGCAGAACAACAACTTAACCAAAACAGTTATGGTTGTAGGTAGAAAACCTTTACCCCCTGAAAAAGTTATTTGTATTTTTGTTTTAAATGTTTATAAAGGATGTGTATCAGTTTTGCTTATTCTTTTTCCAGGTCTCCAGCTTTGCTATACTGTGGTATTTGGATCATACGCAAGTTTTCTCTTTGTGCGAACTGGTATCTGGAAAACATTATTTTTCATGCTCTTTCTTTTATAGGTCTTATTTTTTGGTTCTTTTGTTTCAGACTGCTATTCTATAATCGATTATCAAGTGAAAAGAGATTTAGATTCTAACTGTTGAACATGCACCAGCTTCAAGCTGAAATTGGAATGGAATGATTGTCTAGATCTTTAAATGTGCCACTCTATAGAAGCTCAAACAATTTCGCAATGAAGTTCTATTTATATATTTTTTATATATCTTCTTTTATTTAGTTGTAGTATTGGACAGATCTAATTTGTTTCATGGGAAGCGTGTGTTCGCATTAATGCATTTCTTGTTATAAGATAAATGATGATAACTAATGTTCTTATCAAACTGGCTAGATTAATAATGATACGGTCGCATTAAAAATTTGAAGATGCTGATAAGAAGGTTGATTTTTAACATGACATCAAATATATTTGTAATTATTCTTATTAATGCTATTAGGAGGTAGACTGTGGAAAATATCTTTTGGTGCTTTCCTTTAGAGCTCTTGCTCCAAGAGTTTTGTAATGAATATCCTTGGTCACTTCCAATTGAAGTGTTTGCTTTCCATTCGTTGAAAGTAGCTTCGATATATTTCATTGCCACCAAAGAAGAAACATGATATCTAAAATAGATTTCACAAGCCTAGCCACTAATGTTTAAGCATTTGTGACCGTTCAACTGAGGATGGAATTACTGGAAGAAGTTAACTATGGGAAAATAGTATTTGGTATTGTTATTGGCGAACTGGTGATATACTATTTTCCCTAATGGTGTAACTAGTGTCCGGAGTGGTATTGCTTTGAAATCTTGCTCTTGTATCATCCTTTGTAAATTGTTCATTCTTTGTCATGCCATTTCTATGGGTTCTCTAATTTGGTGGCATGAAGATGTCGCACTAATGCCGGGTGTCATATTCCTTGCAGGACATCTTCTTGCTCCGTTAGTTGCTCATGTTTTTTGCAACTTTATGGGATTACCTGTGCTTTTTTCTCGAAGAAGAGGTATATTTACATTTTTCTGATCTAAATTCATCGATGACCCATGATAATAACAAGAATCAAACTTAGTCCCTTTTCCCTTTGTATAGATAAAAATATGTTCCAAATTTCTCGTCATTATTACAATTCCATATAGTTAGACTATTCTGTTCGCTACCATTCTTTATGAGAAGGTTTTCTACGTGGTCATTTTCTAAATGCAAATAAGTGGTTGAATTGGTGATCAATGACCGCCAAAAAGAATGTTAAGAAAATGATAAATCACTCTGTTTAGTGCTCGAAACATTCTCATTTAGGACTGGATTGGAGTCAATAGTGCAAGTTGAATTATTATAGGTTCATTAATAACAATTCTTAAATTGCCCTGCATATTAAATTCCACATGCCTAAGCTGAATTTAACCCTTTGTGTCAAGGTTATGTTTTCGACATTTTTTTTTTGCTGTTCATTTTTTGTTTATTAATTTGTCTGAGTTGAAAATAACTTTATCTAAACATCACAGGAGTGGTGAGCCTGGCATTTGTAGTTGGAATGGTGGGGTTCCTATGGCTTCTTTTTCCCATGACAAGTCCACATTTGTTTAACGAGAAAACAAATAACTGCAGATGTTGGCATGGACACTGTTCTTGGAACTAGACTGAAAAATCTTAGATTAGAGAGACGGTTGGGAAGAAGAGAGAGAAAGAGAGAGAGAAGTAGAAGAAGGAATGTTCCTTTATTGAGCAATGTACGAAGGCTGTTTAGTGAGTAGAAAACCTGTGAATATATCTTCTCTTGTTTGCGAGTTGCAACAAGAATTAGAAAACACAAAGCGATTTGAATGGTTAATAGACATTATTGATTGTTGTTTGAATGAAGGTGTTAGGCAGCCAAGGATGTTGTTTTGGACCAAAGCAATAAAAAATGCTTGCATACTGAACCAGTTTCCATTCAGCTTCTGAAACCCTTCCACTCTTTGTAGATATTGTAATGATAGCCCCAAATCCGTAGGGTACCCTCCAAGTTGAGGATCTATCCATCCCCCCCCATAAATTAGCTTCATCTTGGTTTGAGTTGCACTTCCATGGAAGAAGTGTTGAGAATGGTCAGAAAATGAAAGAAACAAGGAAGAGGGAGGGAGGGAGGGAAAATGATGATTATGTATGATGGGTTTAAAGGGACCAATTTGGTTGTTTTCCATTAAAAAGGAAAAGAAATTCAAATGGGTCATCATTTCTTATTACCCTTTCTTCTCACATTTGATAAATCTCGATGAGTTTTCGTTGAAGGCCTAGGAGGCCTACAACAAACAGCCTCACACTAGCCCTGTAAACGCCCAATTGAGTTTCTGGAGCTTTTGGAGTTTTGGATTGGACATTCTTCTTTATGCTATATGTTTTTTCTTCTATGTCTCTGCCTGCACAGCTTCAACAGTTCTTTAGATTTAATTTTTTTCTTTTAATGGTCAACCTGGTAACACTTTTAATATGGGCCATTTTCTTTATATATATATATATATATATATATATATATATTGAATCAACTCTTTCATTGACTTTTTACTGTTATTTTCTTTTATCCTTTTGGTGCGATGACGTTTACCTACTGATTAGATTAGATCCTCCCATCACTTTCTTCTCAGATGGAATACGAATGAAAAAGCCCCCTTTCTTTTCTTTCATTTTTGTGAAAAAAATCGTAGATTTTGGACTTTTAATACTTTATTTTGAAAATTTCCCTTAAACTTTCACATGGGTTTCAAAAATACCTTTGTGTTTTTTAAAATTTGATTGATATACTTAAAACTTTTCTAAAAATTATAAAAATATATTTAACTTTATTAAAAAATTTGGAGTATTATAAGTATCTTCAGGGTAAGTGCTTTTTTTTTTTTTTTTTTTCCTTTCAAGTTTGGTATTTATTATTGAGACTTTTGAATTGATAAAGAGTTAACCAAGTTCTTGTTTTTTTTTTTTGGAAAAAATCATTATTTAAACTTCAAATATTCACCTGGTTTTTAAACATTTCTTTTCATGCAAGGAAGCCACATGTCACCTACAAAAATATAAGCCCATGGAAATGCTACGTAAATTCAGAACCTATGGGAAAAAAAATAAAAAATAGAAACATGGATGTAATCAAGATTTTTTAAATTACATCCACGTGGTTTTGTCTTAAGTAGCCAAAATCCTATTATTCTTTCCTACCTTTATATATCTCATACATTATGTTTTTTTGTTTTTTTAGGAGAGAGAACGAAAATGTTAACATATGCTTGGACAAGTTAGTGATTATAAGACAGCGGTGCTTCTAATCCACCGAACAAGTTAGTTGTGTGAAATTTAAATTTTACATCCAATTTTAACATATGCTTGGAGTCTCGAGTCAGAAATATTAATTTTTTTATACATTGCAGAGCAAAGATTTGGCATTAAATTAAATGGGTAGTAAGAAAAAAACATTTTTTTAGCAAACCCATTTTAAAATTTTAATTTTCAATCACAATTTGACATTAAGAGAGAGAGAGCTGATAAGCTGAAATTGGTGTTCCCTTAGATAGGCTGATACATCATTTTTGAAGTACAGAAAAATCCATATCCTAACCCCCCAAAAAAGAAAATAAAAAAAAGAAGATAGAGAAGATGCTAAAGCTACAGACTACCTGCTACTGTAGTAGGCTTGGTAATTCACAAAAAATGAAAACAAAAATAATAATAACTTTAGTGGGGCCATGATATCATCACCATCGTCTTCTTCCTCTTCTTCTTCCTCCATTTGATATCAACGTGAAGAATTAGAAGGATTTGTAAGCGAAGCAGAGCATACATTAAGATCAGGGATCGATTTCGTTTTCCCTTTCGACAATTTCTGCTTCAGTTCTGAAAGAAGAGCTTGATTTTCTTGGTTCAATATCTGTGCTTTCTTCCTCAGTCTTTCATTTTCCTTCATTATGTAACAGTTCTGCAAGTACAGATCCGAATTTAGCCTCTCCATTCTTCCAACACTTTTGATTTTACAATCCCTTCTTCTTTATCCTGAAACAAACAAGAACAATTCACTCAGAAAATTTCTTCAAAAACAAACAAAAAAAACCCAAAAACAGAGTAAGAAGATGAGTTAGGAGCAAACAAGTCGAAGGCTCAAATGGGTTTGGATTAGAAACTGAGAAGAAGCTTTAGGCGAATACCCATATATAAATGATAGCTGAAGAGAGAGAAACATATATATATAGAGAGAGAAACAGAGTAAAACAGAGAGAAACAGAGGAAAAGGCGAAAGGAAGGAGACAGAGCATTGTAACAGCAATGGCTTCTTCTTCTTTCGGTTGCCTAAAGCTGAAAGGAAAGGATAATTCTAAAGCTAAACACTTAAAAACATCACAAGAAGCTTCAAAAAAAACTTTGGAGCTTTAAATACATTTCCCTATGAACAAACAAAAAAACACAGAAACAGAGGAATTTGTTTGAAGCACATAAAAACCAGGTAAAAACACATCAAAACCAAAACAAAAACAACAAATTTGCACCAAAAAAACACTATTTTCTTCACAGAACAAACAAATAAGCCACAACACAAGGGCATGTCCCTACCTTTCTGGGTGAAATGGAAGCAAAAAGGGAACTTCAAGAACATATATATATATATATATATATATATAGAGAGAGAGAGAGAGAGAGAGAGAGAGAGAGAGAAAATGGGTTGGTTGTTTTTTTCTTTATCTTTTAAAAAAAGATCACCTTTTGAAGATGGGTTTGTGGGGAGAAGAGAGAAGAGAAGAAGAAGAAGAAGAAGAAGAAGAAGAAGGCGAGGGACAAAATGGAACAAAGAGGCTGTTAATTTATAGACTCATAGGTCTAGAGAGAGAAAGAAACAGTAAGAGAGAGAAACAAAATAATATAAAAATAAAATAAAATAAATAAATAAAATAATTCTATAGGGACATTGAGACAATAGACATGAGACATGCCCCTCTTTCTGACATAACAATCATTTAACTGTAAGCATGGATGGCGGCCGGTTATAGGAAAACAACCTCAAAAATATTTTCCATTATTTTTTTAAAAAACCAATTTATTATAATTTTTTTTTGTTTCTTCTTCTAAATTGCCCCTTCCAACTTATTATCCAAAAACATTTAAAATTCTTTATTCTTTTTAAAATAATTTAATTAAGCTCGATAAGAATTTAAACGATAACGTATCGTCTATTTTATTCTATGTAGAATTAAATTCTCGAGAAATGAAGCGAAGGGTACGAAGCGTAAATAGGAAAAATGTAGGAGGGTATTTTGGTCATAAAATCCAACATTATGGGGGGTTTAAGAGAGGGACAATTATGGGAGTTACGGCTAAGGGCATGTAAAATGATTCGCAATGATGGTATGGATTGGCTTCTAAACCATCATCACAACCTTCTCAATACACCCACCAAACCCTTTTGTTTTCTCTTCACACCAACATATATATATATATATATATATATATATTGCTTTTAATAAATTATTATCCTAAATTTTGTATGTCTATTTGTAGCCTCCCTTTCATTTACCTTTCACATTTCTAATCTCTTTGTGTTGGTAACTATTGGCAATAATCATTATCTTTCCCCTTTTTACCCCTTTTTTTGGGGTGCACTTCCAACTTTTCCTTACCCACTTGTGTGTTTATTTTGGGGATTTTATACCTTACTTGTAACCTTATATTTGTTCGTTCATTACGACCCCACTTAAAAATATATGTTAGACTTCAATTCATCTCTATTTCGAGTGAAAAAGATTACTTTTTTAGCGTTTTTGTTTGACAGGTATTCGTAATATTTAATGAGTTTTTCAAGACGAGTAGAAAGATCTTAACTTTATTTAATTCATCCTTATTTCGAAGGTAAAAGATTACTTTTTTAGTATTTTTGTTTGTCGGGTATTCATAATATTTAATGGGTTTTTCAAGACGAGTAGAAAGATTTTAACTTTATTTAGTCATGTGTATTTGACAGAAGCTGACATCATAAAGCTAGGTATTTGAACGTGTTCCAGCTAAACACATGGTATTTATTCTTTAAACTAGAGATGTTTAACATGATTGTTCGAGCTAGGTTGGAGATATCGACTAATTACTTTTTTGGAACTATGTCTTCATGCTTACGTAAAATAGCTTCACAATACAACTACTTGGCCTTATAATGGTTAGGACCATTTTTAACCCTTAGAATATGAAGCAATTGATGATGGTATTTTGTTGTTTTACATTATTATAAACCATTATTGCAAGGAAAGCAAGGATAATGAATGAAAGCATTTTGAAAGCAATGGACAAAACACAAAGAAATGAGGAGAAGAAGAAAGAGTTTGTATTTTTCCTTTTTATTGGATAGAATTGGAAGAATGAAAGAAAAGGGTAGGAGGGGGCCAGCCAGCCTCAACCCCTCTCATGGGTTATGAGTAGCTTAGTGTGAAACATCATGGTTTTCACGTCTATATCATTTCAAGGGTATTTTCGTCATTTTAACTTCTCTCAATATGATTTTAAGGGTATTTTCGTCATTCTAACCTCCACGTCGAGCTTATCCATCTCTATATCTTTGCATCAATGCAATCATGGACGCTCAAAGCAACGAAGGCTGGTATTGCCAAAATTACCTTTTTGCCCCACTATAGCTTTTACCCTATTTGGGCTTTTGAAGTGCTTAATGATAATGGTTATTGAGTGGTAGGGTGGAAAGTACCAAAATAAAATTATTTGCATGGTTGGGTAGCATTAATTTAGTTTTGTTTGATTCTTTTTTTCTAAAGTTGTTTTTATATTAAAGATTTTGACGTGAGTTTTTAAATTACCGTAACGTAAATAAAATAAAGATACAACAACTAATAAAAAATAGACTACTGAAAACTTGAGCTCAAGATTAACATTCGTAATTTGAGAGGATATGATATGAACCAACAGACAT